TACTTTAGTTTTGATGCAAAAACGCATGATCGCACCGGCTCGCTTGGTGCGTTCCAGCCTTTGTTTCTAATCGCCTATTGTATGCGTTATGTGCCACTTTTTTCAAAGGCACTGAATCCTGATAACACTCACAGTCTGTTGACGCTTTTGCTAAGATGCAGTTGTTCTGAAAATTCCGGGGAAATGAGTTTTTAGCTATATGAGAGAAAGATGTGATTTGCAGCTTACAATGATTGCTGCGGGAAACGGTGATTATTTGTGGCGGCATTCATTGCGGCCGACATCGCTGCTGCGGCTGCAAACGAGGACATGTAGGATGAGGGCAGAAGCCCCGGGGCCATAAAAATGGACGGCTGGTAGGCGAAGAAAGGTGCTGGCTCATTTCTTCCATTGCAGCTGCTTCCCTCAGATGACTCGGAATCTAAAATTTGCACTTCATTTCTGATTCATTTTTTTGAAGCCAGCTTCCTTGAGAAGTCGATAAAAGCTCTGCAGCGCGTCCGCGAAGGTGATAATGCACAGATATCTTTTGCGGGTGCATGTACTTTGAACTCTACAACAATCAAAAATAATGGTTGAACTCCAGGTGGACAAGAGTGAGATAAACATTTAGTATGTTTAAGTGCTGAGTACTGTAATGTGACTGCATGTTGGCAATAACGGCTTATCAGTTTGGTTTTTCTCTTTGAGGAATTTTCCTTAGCTTCCGTGCAAGGTTTTGCATCCTGATATCTCTTATGATGTGTGTAATTTGCACCAAAAAAGGAAAGATTTGGGCTGTTCATATTATGAGTGTGCGAGATAAAGTGGATTATTGAATAATTACGCAAAGTCAGAAGAGCAGAGGAAGGGATGCCGGCGCAGTGGAAGAACGTGTCTGGAGGAATTAAATAAATTAGTCTGGTTTAAAATAAAAAAGACTGAAGAGATTGCCGGTCGTATTGGGAGTGAGAAGAAAGATGACGATAAAGCAACAGCTGAATGAAGCATGAAGTAGGTTTCGAGGCAGGGCTTTTGGCTTTTTTGCAATATGAAAGCATAATATTTCGTCAAGATGAGAAATGCTTGGCTTGGAACTACTGGATGTAAAAAATTTAGTTTTTTTCCCTTTTTTTTGAACACAAATGGCGCTGATGCTTCAAGGAGACAAAAGAAAATTCGCACTGTATAGGAAATCACTGGCAAAAAGGAATCTTCCATCTACTATTTGTGTGATTTCCGTCGGTATCGCTTGCCGAGTATAGAGAAAATAGCAAAAAGTATTGTAAATATAAGATTTTCTGCTTTTATCAAGCTAAAGACTTCTCGTGATAAAAAAAGATCTTTTCAAATTCCTAACAAAACGAAATTGCATTTGTGAAGTTATTCTCACTCATTCAGCTGCGTTACAGAGCAACATTAGAGGGAGTCTTGCAAGAAAAAGTTTCTGGCTTGCGAAGCTCTATTTGATGATGTGCTATAGCAGTTGATGAAGATAATTTCATATATCTGGTGATTGGTGTTTATTTAAGAATTCGTCGGTTTTCAAGCTTTGAAAAATATTGTTCTTTTCGCTTTTTCTATTCTTTTTCATTTTTGAACATTTTACAAGAATGGAACGAAGACAGGCAGAGCAAACTACAAGCATGTAGGGGGAGTCATGTGGATGTGATAAACTCAAAACCGGAGAAACTAGAGACGTTGCCTAGAAAAATGCATGAGTAGTGAGGAGTAGTGCAACGGAATTTTTGCGGATACTTGAAAAAAGAAAATAAACAACTTGGGAAGTGATATACAATTGTTTTACCTGAGAAAGCGGCAAACTGTTTGTTTAAATAAGACGAATCCCAGAAGTAGTCTAGTTTCCGGAATTCATACCTTTTTGAAGTGCTGCTACGGTGGCCGCTGCTCGAATGGTGTGATTTGTTGAAAAATTCAGTGGCTGTTCTTGCTGCTGCTGTTCATCCAAAATTCGCTGTGTTGGCGACTCGCAGGGATTCATAAACTACTCTTTCGAGGGCTTCAGATATAGCAAAAACATGCAGTTTTGGACGAAGCGGCTTTCCTAAGCAAACATTCTATAGCCAGGCACTTTTAGTCTCGAGCACTGAGCATGATCAGCGCAATCCAGGCGGAGTGAATCTGTTGTCGTGGACGTCTTCCAGGGCGTTTGGCAAAGAGCTGCAGAACTATCGTATCGAAAGACCGGATGAATGATGATGATGGCGGAACTCAGAAGAGCTGAAACGATGCCCCGCCAGGGCAGGCGAAAACTACGGTACTGGAAGAATAGTGTGTGGCTGCAAGCAGTGAGTAACAAACAGGAGAAGGGCGGAAGCCAGCATCAGAAGGCAGGAATGAAATCTACAGCTGCTGGATGCTGTGAGGCAAATGCAGAGAGGGAAGGAAGGATTGGCAGGGAAAGTAAAAATCGAAATGCCAGAAGTGAAGATACACATACACACATAGCGGGAGGGGGATGTTATTGGCCCAGAAAGCTCGGATCGAGCCAGGATGACCACGCCTCGAGCATACGCCACAGCACCACCCCACGCAGCTAACATTCCTGCGCCGGGTGAGCGCGATGTCTAACATATCAGCTTTGTCATTTCATGCAAAATTGTTTATTCGCAAAAGGGAAAAGTGATGTGTGTCGACAAAAGCTGTGTCCTCCCCCCCCCCCCCCCCCCCC